CATTTGCCAAAATTGTTTACACGGATAACGTCGAAACATCCAAGAAGCCGTATAACAGCTGGAAGGCATATTGATGCAATCTACAGTTACGGCCAATAGAATCAATACAATTCATATCCGTCCAATAACGACAAGAACTGTTTGTCGGCACTAACTTGAGTGAGATTTTCGCTGTAAGAGGCCGTTCAGAGCCTTGTACTGACGGTACATCGCCAACATGCAATAATATTACGGGTGCAACGTTATCTATTTAAACAAGAGCAAAATGGCCCATTTTTCAGTGGCAAAATCAGACTTACACTTCAATGCAATGACAGGCGGGAAAAGTGTTATCGGCAACGCTGGAAGAGATTGGCTGAATAGAATAGAATTTGCTAAAAAAACTTGACCAGTTTTGTTGGAAGCGGTCTCAAATAGTCATATATTTGATCTAGAAATTAGCATAATATAAACGTTTGGAAAGTATGTACGTGTACCTGTGTAATGAGTCAGTATTTAACAGTTGAAGCGGAAAAGCTAACATGTTAATAATGCAAATAATGTTAAGATTAACACTAGGCAAACCTGTAGTTAATATCAGGGTCCTTAAAATTTCAATTGTTATAGGGATAATCTTTATTTAACTTATAAATCTGTAGCCTAGCAAAAACTAAAAATTTCTATATGCCTATTTACTTCTACTTAAAACCCATTCTAACAAGAAATGTTAGTAAAACATGTTTGCCCTTTATCGGCAGCTAATTAGTCATGTGATCAGGTCATTGTGGCTTTTGACACAGTGGCCAAAATCATTTAGGGTTATCTACTGGTCATGACAAATAACTAAATAATTTTGACCGTAAAGGTTGTGTGCAGCAATTTATGACACATCTTTATCTAACCAATTAACCTTGAAATGCGTATACCAAAAACATTTAGTTTTATAAAAAATATCAACAGAGGCAACTTGAGTTGTTGAGTTATTGGTCGGATATCGTCTTAACGTACAAAGTCAATGTGTCATTGTGGTCGTTTTCTGACCAAAGGAATGTATCTAAGAAGATTGACGGTCAAAGGTCCATGGGTTGTCAATTAATTAATATGAAACAGTTTTGACATACAAGGTCAATGTGATTTTTAACCCCTTGACCCCCAAAATCCAAAGGGGTCATCTACTTGCCATGACAAATGCACATAAAACGTTTGAGTGCCAAAGGCCTATGGCTTATTAAGTTATTGATCGGAAACCGTTAATACCTACGAAGCAAATATGATCTTGAACTTTGACCCCTTGACCCTAAAATCTACAGAGATCATCTACTTGCCAAGACCAATGCACCTACACAGTTTCAGGGCCAACAGCCTATGGCTTATTAAGTTATTGGTCGAAATCCATTTTTACCTACTTGGTTAATATTACATTGACCTTTGACCCAAAAATCAATAGGAATCATCTACTTGCCAAGATTAAAGCACTTACGCAATTTGAGGGTTATAAGCCTATGGTTTGTCAAGTTATTAATCGGAAACCATTTTTACTTCCAAGGTCAATATGACTTTGACCTTTGATCCCTTGACTTTAAAATCAGTACGGATCACCTCCTTGCAAAGTGAAATGCTAAAACAAAATTTGAGGGCCAACAGCCGTTTGGTTGCCAAGTTATTGATCGTAAACTGTTTTTATCTACAACGTCAATGTGACCTTGACATTTTACCCCTGAAACCGAAAATCAATTGGGGTCAGGTACTGGTTGTGAACTATCATCATACTAAGGTTTTAAGTTCCTAGACCTAAGCGTTCTTTAGGTAAAGATCAGAAACCGTTTTTACCTCAATATGATCTTGACCTTTGACACTTTGCCCCCAAAATCAATTGTAGTCACCAACTGGCAAAATCCAATGCACCTACGTAGTTTTAAGGGGCCAACAGCACATGGGTTGTCAAGTTATTGATCGGAAACTGTTTTTACCTACAATGTCAATGTAACTTCTACCTTGACCTTAAAATCAATACAGGCCACCTACTGGTCATGAACAATCATCATACCAAGTTTAAAGTTCCAAGGCCTAAGCGTTCTTAAGTTATTGATCGGACACCATTTAAACCTACAACCTCAATGTGACCTTGACCTTTGACACTTTGCCCCAAAAATCAATTGTAGTCACCAACTGGCCAACTGGCCAAGTCCAATGCACCTTAGTAGTTTTGAGGGCCAACAGCACATGGGTCGTCAAGTTATTGATCTGAAACTGTTTTTACCTACAATGTCAATGTAACCTCTACCTTGACCTTAAAATCAGTAAGGCCACCTACTTGTCATGAATATTCACCGTACCAAGTTTAAAGTTCCTACGCCAAAGCCTTCTTTAGGTATTGATCGAAAACCGTTTTACCTACAAGGTCAGTGACCTTAACTTTTGACCCATTGACCCCAAAATCATGAAAGATCATCTACTTGTCATGACCAATCATCATACCAAGTTTGAAGTTCCTTGGCCTAAGCGTTCTTGAGTTATTGATTGAAAATGTTTTGGTCAAACAAATGTAAAGCAATATTTCCCCACTTCATTTATTACATTTTATAACGAATTGTATTTTTGTAGCGCATTTCATGTCTCATTGACATTTGAAACATGTACTACATTTGCACAATGGTTAAACGAAATCTTCTTAATCAATACAAATATCAATAGACTGCGCACTTTTGTTCCATGTGCATTCTATCAACATGATTTTTAACCTAAATTGTTTTATGTACGAATGTGGCAACAGGTCCAATGTTTTCAACAAAAGATATCTTATTCACAAAAGCAATGTGTAACATTTTAATCTGATATGATTTTCTTTTTCTAAACACATAAAAACATAGGGTCATTTTGTAAAATCTAAAGAGTGAAAGTTATTTTTATTCATAGAGATCATTGTTAAAGAATGTTAGAAAATGGCTAGTATTATTGTGCAAATTAGCATTGGATACATAACGAATGTTTATAACAGATTTTGTCGTTGATGTTATGATGCTTCTTTTGCAATATTCAATATGGTTATTATTCACAATATTTATAATTTTATACATGGTATGCAAGCAATTACTGAATTGCTGTTCTCAATTTATAGACAAGCCCATAAGCTTATCAGCAATGTCTGTAAATCAGACGTTTTATACTACAAAAATAACATAATTCTGGTGACAACATTTATGTTACATTCATAAAAGTACAATTATACTTAAATGTTTGTTAATTAAACGGTTTTGACCTTTTTTGAAGGAATTTACTATTACTATAACTATGTACATAGCAAACAGTTATATTTGTTTTATCGATCCTAACAAGGTAAAGATATTTCACTGAGTAAGCATTTTAACACACTTGCATTGTTTTAATTCATTTTGAGTCCACTACACAAATCTGGTGAAATTTTACTTTTATATTTGTTTTTGTTAAATAACATGAAGACGGGTTTTTTTCCAAACAGTCTTATAAGAATATGATTTCATATTTGAAAAGCATGTTGCAAATCAGCTTAACAGTTATCGTCGTTATATAAATATAATAAATAAGCAGCAATAGGGTTTCCGCATATATCATTCTTGTCAAAAAGCTGATAGATTCTTGCCTCAAAAATATTGATGATGACAATAAAATATATATTTTTAGATTTTAAAATCGCCTTTTATATAGTTGACCACAATTTACTGATGTGTAATATAAATCTTAATCATTTTTTTCTTACAAAATGTACATTTTTTCCAGTCAAATGTCTCTAGTAGAGAAATTGTTATATGTTAATGATATATCAGTTATTACGAATTCAAAAATTGATATGTACGCAGACGAGCCAACATAACAAACAGCTGACCAAAGTTTGGTTAATATACAATCTGAGGAATGGTGCTCTCCCCCAAAAAATGATCATTAATCCAGAGTAGACTTCATGGACGATAATTGTAACAAAATGTAAAATAAATAAAATAGGTAATTTCTCTGCATATTTCGAAATTTGATTATATATAATGTTTATTGTCAAAAACTACCTGGAATCTATATTCACTATTTGATAACTGTCTCTCATGGAAATCGAATATTGACAAAAGTATGTTTAAGTCTGCTTCTAAATTATCCGTAACAAAAAGAAATAGAAATAAGTGTTGAATATGTACTTGTATTTGGCGTACTAATCAATCTGGTAACATTTCATTTAGATAGCAATAGTAGTATAAGGGAAGAAGGCCAAACATTATAAATAAAAATCACAGACCTACAGAGGAGTGATTCCTATTAGTGGTTGCTACTTTTTACAAGTTCATTATTACTAGGTCACCTCAATTGTTCGTACCGTTTCTATATACGTATTGAGAGCAATAAAGACACTGAAAGAAGACCGGAAAACATTATTTTCCCGAATGAGTACGTTTTCTTATTGTCTACGGAACAGGGTGTAATAAAGAAGAAAAATGCATATTTCGTAAAATCGGTTACAGTCATACTGCTAATTTTATGTTATTTCGATCATCGTATCCGACGAGTAATGACGTACGTTGTCCATTTGTATAAAGATCAGTTAATATACGAATGATTGTTTTCATTTGTAACATATACTTGCTGGATAAACTTTTTAACCGTTACTCATGAACCTTTTGAAGCTTGTGTCAATGTAAATCTGTGATATACAAGGCTTAAGTCTTGGACAAATCATAACACTGAAATATTTACTTATCAAAACGCACGTATATACTTAAATGCATTCATATCTAAAGTATTTCATGCGTTCCAATTCTGAGCCTAAGTAACGATCGCTTTTTGAGAATTTATAATATCAATAATAAACTATGTGACTATAAATAATATTAAAGTGTCTATCTTATATAATATTTAAACGTCTATATCTTTATTATTGCAGAACACAGGCGTCATTTATTAATTAAAATGCGTGGAAGACAGTAAATGTACATAGAATCTACTCTGTATGTGATCATAGTGTCGACAATTGTGCTGAAAATTCAATAAAAAAAATTACCTCCTGTTGTGACATTAAAAGTTATGGTTTTTCTCTCACTCCCGTCGTCACATGCGAAAAGTTGACCAGCGTGAGAAGTATTAACAGACTCTATAGTGAGTCTAAATTCCCCATTACTTTCATCAAAGTTGAATATGAATGTGAAGGGTTTGTTTGGATAAGCACCACATGATCCTTGAAAGCAGTCAGCGTATGGATCGTTATTCACAAGCCATGTCATTCCATTACTATATGGAGATATCGTACATATTAGAATCACTTTAGAACCATCTTGAATACTTGACACTCCATCCTCTATCATTAGCGATACGGATGCACCTAAACAATGAAAATCATAAAACATGTTAAAATGGTTAATAATCTTTAAATTCATTATCATTGTTCTCTGTTTGTGTGTCTAGTAAGATTTTTTTTATTAAAGGTGAAATCAATATAGAAATAAATAATGTATATGTTACAAATTATTTTGAAACATTTCGTTTACCTAAAAACTTATGATTGGGAAGAAGAAATTTGACCCTAGGGCCATGAATTCTATAATTTTTGTAAATGTACACAACATATGCTACACGCTAAACAGTTAATAATTATGCAAATAGCTTTCAATTGTGTTTTCTATATAGGTTTATATACCGGTGAAAATGTGACCTCTTGGCACTGCGTATTCAATATGGAATGGTGTATAACTTTTGTTTCTAGTTGTTTTCTACCTGAATAAGGTTATAGCTTCCAATAATACGTCTTATTCCTATTTATGTGTTTTTTTCTATTTAACAAAAAATAGGATTAAGTGAATATTTGTCATGCATAATGTGTGCGAAACCCACTTATTGGATAAGAAGGACTACCTTTTTTGTCAACAAAATTAATACATGCACAGTTGCCTGCAGTAATATTTTTTCAAAAGAAAAAGACATTTAATCTCCCCAAAAAAATGATTAAACTGAACTAAAATGTATGGTTTCTTAGGCTCTGATATTTTTTCTTTATGCAAGGAACTTAAAAGTTATTGCATAGTAATAATAAGTTTCAGGAACGTATTCGAAAGAGTCTTAAAGCTTACAGCTTCCTATACAATCGAACTGAAATATATTCTATATGAACTTAATAAAGTCTTTAAAATCAAACATACCGAGCAGAAATTATTTATTTAAATAAACTTTAAACTACATTGATTATGAATATATTTAGACTGTAATTTTCAATTGAATGACTTCAATGTATATTTTATTCATTCAATTGAAATTGTAAGTGTACATGAGAAGTCATTCTTCTTTTCAACCAGTCATAAACATACAGTAAGCTGTGTTTCAATTATAAATTAAACCACAAACCCATTTATACGTTTATGATCTGTGAAAACTGACCCGACTTTATCCATAAGTGTTAGGCGCGTTGATTGGTCACTACCCCCGGGCCCCACCCTCTCACCCACTCAACAACCCTCCTAGCTCTCAAAGCCATGTTAACTGCAGTATTTTTCATTTGAAACATGTTTTGATATTTGGTATAGGCTTTTAATTCAATTTCCTTCATTTCACAAAAATTAATACATTGATATATTTAGTAAAGGTATGCAAATCGCCGCTCATTTGTCAGCACTCATCTTAATATGAACTCCTTAACTCCAACATTGTCTAACCAATTTTCAATATCTCGGTACCAAACGGTAGGGAATTGATTACTCTTAAAGGAAATAAAGCTGTCATTACAATCATTACAAGTTATAAGAAGACATGTAATCTCGAAGTAACCGCAAGTGTAAGTCGACAGAGACCAGACCGCTCGGTTATTGTCAAAATTATCCGACTAAACGGCAGGTTATTCGAAATAAATGATTGTTTTTTTGTATTCTGCAGAGTGCTCTCTCCTGTTTTTGTACGGTGTATTTTCATTTGTCTAAGGTTTTCACACAATAAACGAAAATACTCAATAGCAAGAATTCCGATTATACTTTCATTTTGGATTGAGATTTGACAAATCGGAAAAACGGTTAGTTATAGTTTTATGTGATGTTTTGATTGAACAGTTATTACAAATAATAATATAATTTTGTCATGATTATATGACAATACAAACAAATATTCGTTCATTTCGAATAAACTGCCGTTTAGTCGGGTAATTTTGACAAAAATACTGCAGTTTAAATGGTTTTGTGAGGTAGGAAAGTTGTAGAGTGGGTGAGGGGGTGGGGCCCTGGGCTAGTGACCAATCAACGCGCCGGACATCTATGACTGTATCCAGCATATTCTTCACAATTTCACAAGGCTTTTTACAAATAATGATGGTATCCTTCATCTGTTTACCAGATCTGTCATGTTTCATAAATTCATAAATAATCTTTTGTTGAATGCTTCAATCGTCTCGACCAATAATTAATCCCATGCAATTACTTTCGAAGAAAACGGATGTTTACTTTATGACTATTCAAACAAAAAAAGGTAAGATGCGAAAGGCACTTTACAGTAGATGCAAACCATTAACATTTCCAGGTTTTCATAGTAATTCCGACCTGTGATAACCTTTCGTGGTGAATACCGAAAAATAAAAGGCTGAATCGAGAATGTATTGCGGCCATTTTTTATTTACAAAATAAACCCCATGACCAGATTTTATACTGTTAAAAATTACCGTTACCTATGTGACGGTACAAATTTTGTTGTCACGTGACGCACTTGCATTAAGTATGAATAACTCCCAGTGACCCATTGGAAATTTACATAACAAACAGTGAGGGGTAAACAGAACTATCCAAACCCGAGTCTAATGCTCATAGCTAAATAATCTAAAGAAGCCAATGGACCCGTTTTGAGTATAATCTTAGAAATTAGATGTTACAAGGTAGGGCATAGATCTAAGAAGTTAGGTGTCACAAGCTGAATTTTGTTCCAATACAAAATCTAATGGCTTACCTGAATGTGAGATAAATATGCCAAATAAACAACTACACAGTAGAAGCATATCGTCCTACCTTAAAAAAAAGAAACACATACGAAATGAAAGTTATTTCAATTGCTTTATGGTGATACCGGTTTGTAGGCATTTTGACTTGCAAAATATCATAGTTTTATCACACAGGGAAATAATAATATATGACTATAATACAAATCATACTTAAGAATAAAGAACAGACATGTAAAATTATTCATATTTATCTATTACTCGACTTGATACATTACTCATATCTGATTCCGGCTATTGCAAAAAGAACAAATTAAAGCAGTTTACACTAATAAAAATCTATATTAATGTCAGAACTTATTATTGGACTTTAACACTTATAAAGAAACAAATAAAGTAAAGATACTTATGTATAGAATACTAGAATTAGAAATATCAAATACATATCAAAATTTACTCACTAAGTCTATAAAATAGTTAACATCCAATGTTTACGTTAAGCACAAGAGTTGTTAGTTAGCAATGCATAAAAATCAATACACTTAGGAACAAACTACCGTAATCCACAGAAATCCACTATTTCTTTACATCAGTGCAATACATGTTAAATAGATTTAAGGCCATTTAAGTAATTGTTGTTTTTGTGAAAAATGGTTGAAAGCATCAATGCATATAAACTTAAATGATTAATGTCCGAGTTATTATGATATCTATCGAAAAAGTTTCAATTAAAATGTAAGAGTCGCTTGTTTATTGAGCTATACTGATTATCAGTCATTATCCACTTTTCATTTTTAAAACTGAATACAATTTAAATATTTTTGGAAAAGTATTCATTGTAAAACTAGTTAATTAATTTAAGAGAGTTAATTATCGGTCTTTGGAGTGAATCACAATGTATGTATGTATGTATTTTTATGGATGGGTGGATGGATGGATGGATGGATGAAGGTTTAATGAGGGTCCATTCGCCCTTATGGAAAAAATGTGTTGACAGATTTACCTGGGAGTATTAGCCAACGAAATGTAATTTAGCCGAAAGTAATTCACTGTACAGAGGCCAATAAACACCTTAACGTATTGTATCCTGTAAAAAATATAGAATAGGTTAGTGTAGGTACAATAGTTGTTTCCAGCAAAGGGCGCTTCCGTTCAAGCCGTCTCTTCGTACTTAGTGCCTTTCCGTGTCCCTGCCTATTTTGCAGCACCTCTGCCCCCGGCTTCATTTAGGACATCGGCAGCAAACTTAATAAAAGCTAAATCGTATCGCCTTAAACGTTACTCCTAACTTTAGAAGCATGCGAACTTTCCGTTTTACACGTTGCAAAAGAACTTAAATCATCTGTCGGTGCCCTTTGCCTCTCCACAGCGTGCACGTTACGAGGGTGACGGACTAAAAGTCCAACAAATGTGTCCTTAAATAACTTAAAGACACGCTGGTCGAAAAATGTTAGGTTTGGTAAAAGATGCTTTTAATAAACCTTTATTCATTTAAATTCTAATAAATTCCATTTCATTTGGGCACACACGGTTTCTTGATTTCGATGGGAATACTGATGACTCTACATTTATATGTGTCTACTCACTTTCAGTACGAACTTAAAGATATTGGAATATTTATTCGTTTAACAACTTATATTTGATACATATTTGATTATATATACATAATAAACGTAAAGGTCTTTGTACTTTTTGTTCTAACCTTAAGTGAATAAAGTGAACTACTTCTTCATTTAACTACATAAAAAGTATTTCAAATACGAGTAAAATATGTATCACTGAATTTATTATTTTTCTATTGTTACAATAGTTATCGTTTACTTGTATTCAAAACCCCTTTCCTAATAGATCTTTATCAAAATAATGACTCTTGTTAGCATGATTGACAGTATGATTTTTAAAACTTTAAAGATATAAATTTAATGCACTTAATATACTGTATTAGATATAATTGTACAATTATTGTTTAGTGTGCCATTGAATATGATTTGATATTTACCGGTCGATGACATATTTTCTGAAGCGATACCCGAGGTCAATATAACTTTTGACGGTGAATATCACATCATAATTATTCAATGGCTCACTTGTCAATACTATTTTAAATATATGAATTGGCTAAGAATTTTAAAAAAATACAAAAAGTACACAAGCCTTTTACAATTTTTTCCTGTTTCATTGAAGCGCGGGAAAAATGATGTAGTAATACGAAAATAAGAGATTTCCAGGCGTTTTACAAAAGTAAAAGTAATTCAAGCTTATACTCATCATTGTGGTGTAACTTTCAACTATAATTTCAAGTAATAGAAAAAGATGTTATAAAAACAAAACAGAACAATCATATTTTATGCGCACGAGTTATGTACAGTCTACGATGTATGTTCATTGAATATGAGTCTCAATCTTTAGATTGGGAAAATGCCATTCGGCCAGTGAATGTGATACTTCATCCAGTAAACATGAATTGTTCTGTTCACTACTGTCTGGACAAATAAAATTGCAGCTATATTTAAATCATATTATACACCCTAATGAAAAAAAGCTAAAATTTAAAAGCTTAATTAACACACAGCAACGACAAATTAACCCAAAGACAAGACACCAACGTCAGTACGATTAAGTATACACTACATTCAGAAAAGTCGTGACGTATGACCAGGATATCAATAACAATATTGGACTTAAAAATCTCTAATGCTTTTTAAACTTTTTTAAGAAAAGTAGGATTGAAATGACTAAATACATAAAATATTTATATTCAGTAAAAGGCATCTAGTAATTAGAATAATTTTAAATCATAGTTAGAGCATGAACCATAAAAGAAAAAGAAAAAAAAAGGTGGGCGTCTTACGGTACTTTTTAGTCTGATTGTGGTGTTTATTTATGCATTCTGTTGAAAATGCTCTTGTTCGTACAAGTATACACATAAAGTTATTGGATAAATTCAGGCGTAGGTACTGTTAAATATATTTGCGCTTTACACAACTAAGTTTGCCAGTATGAAAAGTATTCTCACTTAAAATATATCTGGACAGAAAAACAAATTAGCAACGCATTTAATTATACTTTTGGGTTGATTTATAAATTTATCAATTTTATATGTTTCAATATAGTAATGCTGTTTTTTTACTGCATGTTTAATTTGAACAGTTGAAAATCAATTTTTAACAGATGTATCAATGACCGAGTGTTAAGCTTACCGGCTTCCAATTACTTGCTTGTGAGTTCGAAACTTTAAATTTTTCAACTCAAAAATAACTCATTATGATCATAATAACATTTAAATAATAGTGCTATTGTAAAGGGTTGGGTGTAGCAAATTGTGATGTTAAAATGATGACGTTATGACTTCATAGACATAATAGAATTACGTTACAAGGAAGGCACATATTATCAAGATGTGAAGCAGCACTGCTCTTATAGGTACATTTACTCTACTCTAACTTTACACTGTAAAAGCTGATTGTAATAATTTTATTTTAATCTCGGTAAAATGAATAATTATAGAAAACAACAGCTATAACAAAATATAAGTAGATGTAGAGGGAAAAGAAACAACAAGAGATATTATTTGAAAATTTTGTATTAGTTTAAATAACGACATAAAATCCTGTTTTCGTCAATTAAATCATAAACAATAACATTAAAAAAAGAATGATGTACTTACATGAATTAGATGTGTTTCACGCAAACGAAGTGATGAAATTCTGTATGAGAGATTCATTGTGTTTCATCTTTACATACCTATAGAAAAAAAACAAGCTGTGACATGAAATACATTGGCATATGCATCTGTTAAAAGCAAGCAATGTTTTTCCAAGTCTATTGGGAATTAGTGAAGGTTCCAATGAATCGTAAAAATAAGCGCGGCAATGGCGTTTGTTTGCAAATATTGTTCAATTTTGTAGTGAAAACATTTAGAAACGATGGTATACAGAGGTTTTTTTTAACCTTTTAAATGCCGCTTAAGGCCCTCTGACTCCATTCAATTCACTTTCGGGAACAAAATAAAATGTCGCAGGGGAGAGACTAGACTAGATATCTGACATGTACATCGTTAAGTCACTTTAAAGATCCTGTAACTCTATTTTTTGTTTTATATCATAAACAATAATGCTCAAATGAAGATTTACAATATCGTAAGTTCCAAAAATATTATTTGTTAAGATATTACCGAATTGACATTTCATGTTAATAAAGGGAGGTAATTAGAAATTTATTTTCTATAAAGTCTAAGTCAATTTTTTCAATAAGAAATGAATGCATATATTTTAATGATAATGTGAACAAATATTTGCAGTATATATTTTACATATTCTTTGATGACTGTTAATTGTCTTAGAAGCATAGTTATAAACATAATTTATATAAACTTAAGTGTGGTAACAACCTAGTAGGATTTTAATGGTTAAAAAATTTGTCATGTATGAGATTCAACTCTCGTTATCCTATGCTAGAATGACTATCTAAATAAATGTTTTGAGGCAAAATCTTGATAAAACATTACTGTAACAGTGAAATCGTTTTGTCATCTGAAACAGGAACATGTACCAGAGGACATTGAGAATTTAAGAATATAGCGTTAATTGCATCCTTGATCCTTTTAGCAATAGTGGGTCATGTCTATGTTTCGTAACCCGCAATCAAATAGTAAACTTTCCACAAATAAAGTTGTTCTTTAAATGTGCTTTTCAATGTTCCTTTGAACACTGTTTTCCATCTTTTTTCTGATCATAAAAAGCAGATGCGGCACCAATATTGGAAATATCTCCCTTCCAATATACATGCTTTGTCAAAATACAGTTTATTGTTTAGTCTATATAGTAAGGTATTACGCACCAACAAGTAGATATAGTGTCATCATTTACCAGAAACTATAAAGCAGCAACAAATTAAAGAGTGATTCCAGTATTATGTCTGTCAGGACAGTTCCTGTCTATGACAGCCTAGTTGTGAAAAAAAATTAGACAATTAATAAATGGTGCAATTCAACAGTACACCGTTGACCAGTTACAAAGTGGGATTGCATATTAAAATATGTATTGAGAGCAATAATCGCTTAACCAACCTTTTTAATATAAAATATTGTTTAAAGTTTTTTAATAGTTTAATACCTACTGATAAAATACATAGCGCATGCGACTAGAACTTATGTAGTGTTCAATAACTTCGTAAAGCATACTTTGATTTAAAAAAATAAATACACTTTTCAAAGAAATGCCAACAGACATGAACCTTGAATTTAATGCCAATCGACCATAATTTCTCTGAGAAGATAATTGTAAAAATAAGATAATTTAAATGGGGCCCTATTTCGGTCCCAAACCCGTATGAAAACAACAACAACAACAATAATAATAATGCAACAAAAACAATAACAACAAAACAAACAAACACACAAGCACGCACACACGCACTCTCAATCTAAAATGATGGGATAGATAAAAATGAATTTTTTATGTAAATGACCTAAACGTAAAGAGTCAGTAGCTCAATAGTTATTTCC